CCTCCAGCTCCTGGGGGGGGGGGTGCAGACAGTTCTGTGGATGCCTGCAAGGATAAGCTGACAGGTCTCTTCTCAGGAAAATTCTATTTTAGAATGTCTCTCACATGTATTCAACAACAGAGGCTAGAGGAACATGTGGACAAATCAGCACAGATAACCACTTGATAGAAAAATAGCTGCTGTTTTCTTATTATACAAAAATAAACTTTAAAATTTAAGTTAAATTGGCAGTTTCCAGTTAGAATTTTAGACCTCCAAGATTCCCATTTGAGGCTCTTTCCCCCACTCCCAGTCTGAATTGTTTTTCTAGGGGAATATTTTAAAAATTCATAAATTTTCAAGTCATTGATGACTAAACTTAAGAGAAAATCAAGTCACTAACTTGTGTAACAGAAGTCAACCTTAAAGGTGAAACCAGGCTAAGTGGCCAGTGGTTTTTGTTTTTTTAAAATGTGTTTATTGATTTTTTTTTAGAGAGAGAGGAAGGGTGAGGGAGAGAGAGAGAAACATCCTTGAGAGAGAAACATCAATCGGCTGCCTCCTGCACGCCCCCTACTGGGGATCAAGCTCACAACCTGGGCATGTGCCCTGACCAGGAATCAAACTGGCAACTTCTTGGTACATGGGACCACGCTCAATCCACTGAGCCACACGGGCCGAGCAAGTGGCCAGTGGTTTTAAGCCAAACATACAGAACAACAGCAGCAGGAACTCACATTTGCAGCATTACCTGATTTGGATGTAATAACAAGGACTCGGTCATCCAGGGTATTTATCGTCTTCTTGAAGCCACAAAGGGCCTCAGAAAGCTGAATTTTCATTTTCATGACCAAGTCATTGCCTCGTCTCTGAAAGACACTATGATCCTTCTGATCAAGCACAATTATGACATCACCAGGCTCCAGCTCAGGCTCCTGATCGCCTTCTCCATGAAACAGTATCTTTTGCCCATCCTTCATACCTATGGAACATCATCCCTTTCTGATTAGCCGTTTCTCTTCAGAGCCACACTTGCTACAAAGCTCTTGAAGAAGGTACAGAGCACCAAAGAGCACGCCCAGCCCACGCAGAGCGCTACGTGTGTGCAGCCTCACCTTTCTCAACGTGCACCTCGATAATCTTCTTCTCCCGGGTCACCTTGGCGCCACTGCAGTTTTCGCAGCGGTCCTTGGGGTTGATGCGCTCGCCCTGGCCCTTGCACTCGATGCACACAGTCTGAATCTGCTGAACCATGCCCGGCCCGATCTGCTGGATGTGGATCTGCATCCCCCGGCCCTTGCACAGCGGGCACTTCTCCACAGAGCCCTTCTTTCCTCCAACACCTGGGTGTGGGGGGGGACAGGTGCCAGCTGAGCTCTTCCAAGAAGCATAGCTGCTGGCGCCACAGCAGGAGAGTAAGGAACCACTGCTTGGACACTGGGGTTTGAATTCTGACTGTTTACAAACATGACAAGCAATGTGGAAGTGACTGGGTGGGTCTAGCCAAGCAGATAACCACCAGATGTTAACATGGGATCCCAAACATTTGTGTTTTTGGCTGTGCCAAGCCAAATTCATTACTAAAGCACCATCAACTGTGTTCTTCCACCTCAGGGTGGAAAAACACCCATGCCTACAGGTGACCGAGTAGGGGGGCTGCGGGGAACTAGAGAACACAGCCCTGTCCATAGGGGTGGCTGCCCAGCTCAGCCTGTTCTCCGTGGGACAATATGGATCTGATTGCTCTTGAAAAATTAGACTTAAAAAAATTACATGAATTACATTCACATTTAAGTCAAGGGTCAGTAAACCACGACCAGCTGCTGGTTTTGTAAATAAAGCTTTATTGGAACACAAGCATGTCCACTCTCTTATGTATTGTTTGTAGCTGTTTTTGCACTAGGAGTTGAATAGTTACGACAGGGCACACATGACCCACAAAGCCTGAAATCTGTACTCTCTGGCCCTTTACCGAAAAAGTGTGCTGACCCCTAGGGTGGGTGGACTGTCTTGATTTAAAAAAATTTTAAATAATTGACAACATATTAAATAAATATGTATTCAAAATAAAAAATGTACAGGGCCAAATGAAACAAATTTGTCTCTCAGACTACCTTTTTGCAATCTGTCTGACCCTCACATTTGAAAAGATAAATTGTTTTCCTCTGAATTATAACATAATCAGAATTGTTTTTGGATCTAAGGGATCAGAACTTGGAGAGTTATTTGAAAATTTATTTTTACCTTCACATTTCTCACAAATTATATTTTTCTGGAGGGCCAATTTCTTTGTGACTCCATTATATAAATCTTCAAGAGTTACAGACAACTGATGTACAACATTCTTGCCTTACCAAAGGGAGAAAAAAAACCCAATTAGTAATACTGTAGTAAATATGCCACTGTATTAAACACCACCCAGATGACACTCGTGTGAAGTCTCTCCAGAGACTCGAGGCTGTGTCATCAGTCCCCTTCCCTGTGGGGAGCAATGCTGCTATTACACCTGCCTTGTTTCTCTGGCTTTCTGCCAGTGATGAGAACAATACCCCTTCTAGCTCTGAGCTAAGTAATCATTTATAGATGTCACCACAAAGACTTTCCATCTTTATTTCCAAAACAAATCTGAACACAGAGATCACTGAGAACCTAAAGCAATGTTACAATGATTGATTAACAATTTCCATGAAAGGAGCCCTTTCCTCACAGATGAACACATGACAACCATTCTCGGGACCTCTCATTGAGACTCTTCCTTGAGCCTAGTGCACTTCACTCTGAGCCTTTCTGTCATTTGTGGCCAACTGGGAGCTCTTTCATCTGCCGAAACCTTGTCTGTGCATTCAGGACAGTGGGCCTTCTGTCTTCAGGGCGGGAGTCTGTCTGCTCTGGCACTATGCCAGCCTCTCAGAGCCCAGAGCACCAGGAGCCTCCGCTGCTGCTCGCAGACACTGAGACAAGCTGTCCTTGTTTATTGGCTGTCACCTTTGAGAGATGACTTAATTAAGGGCAAGAAGTTGTTCATCTCAAGACAGTGAGAGAACTGGGCAAGAGATACCCAAGGTTTTAATCACATCCACACTGTCAATTATACAAGCAGACAATGTACCCAGACAACAGGGCAAGGATTTTTTCCCTCATAAACACTTCGATTTTCAGTATACTGTTCACAGAATAGACAGGCAAGCATTTTGAAGCTCAAAGTCAATTATAACATGAGACCAAGTACAGCCTTATTTAGAGGCCTCTTGTTGACCCACACCACCCTTTGGAAACCCGAATGCACAGCTTTTTGGTTCTGCTTTTATCCTTGGTGGTAACATTGGCTATCTATCTGGTTTCAAGATACAAAGCAGTTTATCAACAGTAAACTGAACAGGAGAATGGGGGCTGTTAGAGATCACCAGTAACGGTCAGAGGTGACAGCTCATGGCCTGGAGGTAAGAGGTAGAACAATTAGGAAGAGCAAAGCCCATAACTCTAAAAACAACTGCCTAGGGCCATTCAGCTCAGGACTAAATCCCTCATTCACTTACTGGGGATTAAGTTGCTAATCTTAATGCTTTCTGAAGAGGGAGGCAGTTTTCTTTTACAAAGATGTTCAAACATAAAGGAGTAAATTTTGTTACCTAGAAAATCTCCTGAGCAGGCTAAGGAAATGAAGCCGGGCTTCATAGGAGAGCACCAGGCAGAAGTGGAGCCCGAAGGCCCAGGTCAGGAGGCGCGGGAAGGTGGGAGTGTGGGAGGGAAGAAAGCACTCTTAGCAGAGGCATCACTAATAACCACAGGAGGTGCCACTATGTCCCTTAGGACACTCAGGAGCTTGACCCCAACAACGGAAAAAATGAGGGCAAGATGAAGTTGGCATTCCTCCTTTCTACTCACAACTCCATCTGCTCCGTTATACGTGGTGTTTGGAGGGTGGCAGGTTATTGCTAAATATGCTAAGAGATTCCAGATAGCCTGGATACTAGACAAGTGATGAAGTAGTTAAAGCTGATGGTCCCAAACCATGACAATTGTACCCTTTTAAGGCACGATCTGTCCTGATTCCAGTAACGGACAATTTGGAAACGATACAACTTGCTTAAGGTCTTTAAAAGCATTTACCTCTTCTCTCTCTAGCCATCCGCCCTCCACCACCGAAGAACATGTCGAAGATGTCCATGGGGGAAGAGAAGCTGGGGCCGCCCAAGCCTCCCTCCTTGATCGCCTGCTCGCCGCCCTGGTCATAAATATCCCTTTTCTTTGGATCTGAAAGCACTTCATATGCCTGGGATATGAGCTTAAACTTTAAAAGAAAAAGAGAGCAATTAAAGAGAGAGAAGGTTTGAGTTGTGTTATTAAGCAAACCCACCATATGAATGCAATGTCAGAGGTATTTTGCACCAACCCCCAAAGTAGCTGGTCTGTCCATTATCTGGAACCCAAATTTTCCACTTACTCCCCTTGTAAGGTGGGAAACACAGGGCACACATTAGGGGACTAGTGGCAGGGCCACTGCAGAGAATAAGGGAGAGCAGGTGGGGAAGGGAAATTTCTCCCTACTCTGGCTGCACCAGAGAGGAAAGTTGCGTGGAACTAGGAGGCAGTAAGCCTAGGCCAGGACTCAACCTACAGCAGAGAAAGCCCAGGACTCCTGGGTGCTGCTGCTGGCTTCCCAGCTCATGAGGATTGCTTTACAGTTTACTAGCATGAAATTCAACTACAGACATCTTGTGAGCACCTATCCACTGCAGGTTGCAGACACTGTGTGCAAACCTATACTTTCCCCCAAAGTCATGCCCCTCCCAGTTTTCCCCGTATCTGTTACTGGCAAGGCCAAAACCTCATGTACCCTCTCCCTGCCATCTCATCTGTCAACAAATCCTTTTGGCGCTACATTCAAAGACGTATCTCCAGTACTCTAAGACAGACAAAATACCCCATGTGTCACATTCCCACCAAAAATGTTATCATTGGAATCCAATTGTGAAGAAACAATCAGAAAACCCAAACTGAAGGATATTCTGCAAACGACAGGACAACTAATCTGTGATCCTGGATTGGATCTTGCACTGGGAGAAAAAATAGCTCTGGAGTCTAATTCAGCTTCCTGCCTCTACCCCGTGTCACAGTTGGAGATCAGTGCTCTCACCAGCTCACCTTTCAGAATGGGATAATTTTCCATAGAACCTTAATGAAATTACTATGCTCCTGGGGGGAAAATGGCTTGGAGACTGTGTAGCAACTTGGAAAAGTATTTGTGATAAAATAGTAAGTGGCGAGAAGAAAAAAAAGTACGATCATTCTGGAAAAAGCCTGGAAGGAAGCATAGTGATAGCAGTCAGGGCGACGTGTAATTTCCTCTATATTCTGAAATTTTCTGCACTATTATGTTCTTTTATGATTTTTTTAAACTCTCATGAAAAATCTATTATTCAAAATAAAAGTTACAGTGAAATTGGCTGAAAGACCAAACTCATCTCAAAAGTCAGGGTAATAGCCAAGAATACACCCCTATCATTGCCATTGAAAGGGATGCACTTACTGACCTGCAGCCCAAGTAACTCACTGAAACCGGCCACAGATGAGATAAGTACAGACTCCATACAGAGCGCTTGACAACAAACACTTGCCCAGTGCTTAGCAACACAGGACAACGGGGCCCAAAACAAAGACCAACACACCAACAGCCGTCTCAGTTATCCCGGAGCAAGCGGGGAAAGGACTGCCCTAATCTATTTTTGAAGGGCCATTAATAATACAGTGACAGACTGAGGAGGAAAAATATAAAAAGGTTCCACCATTGACAGATAAAGTGGACAAGAACTACACAGAGTCTTGCACAAAATAGAAAAGGTCTACACAGTGTGCCTGGCACACAGTAGGACCAGTTAGAAGGTATTTGGTGAGTGAATGAATGAATGAGTTCTTTTGGGAACTTCACAACAGAATTTCTACCATCCCTTTGATTTCCAATCCAATTTCCACTGATCTCCCAATTCCCCCTTCACTGCAATAATTTCCCTTCTAAGTTACCTTTATAGGTCTCTCTTCTCCTCCCACACAGAATTCTTTAAATTGTATTTCTCCATTCATTCAGCCAGCCAACAAACACCTTAGCACCTACACTTTACCACTAGACACAGGTCCGTAAGTGGGCATGGGGGCCATCGTCCCTGCCCTGCTTCCACAGCAGCGGGGAATGCAGGTATCAAACATGGAATCGAAATTAAAGTAAGAGGAGGAATGGGTCAGTGGTTCAATCTATGGGTCAGAGTCAGCCTCCTGGAGGAAGCTCTACCTGTCAACAAAATTAAAGGGTTTTATTACTTTTGTGGAAGGTGGGCAGGGGAAAGTATTCCTGGCAGTGGGCACATTCCAAGTGGAGAAGGACCTGCCAGATCCCACCACCAACAGCCTCACTTATGTGACACTAATTCAGTGCCTGGCTATAAGTAAATATTAGCTTAACAAACCAAACCACCTGCTCAGACAGGTATGTACAGGGTGACGCCTCTAGAAATGTAGTACAGGTCACTTCCAACTTTAAAAAGCTGCTTTCCCACATGCCGCCTGTAGCCACCCTTCTGAAACGTCAAACTGGAAGCCTGGATGCGCCCTCCTTCCAGGAGGTTCTCAGAAACAGCTTCCCACGGATGTGGGGAGCACGTCTGTGAATCACCAACACCGCCCAGGCCAAAGCCAGTCCCTTCAAAAGCTACAGTAAGCCACCTAAATATAGACGAGAAAGAGCGCCAGCCACCGACAAATGGTCTCACAGCAAAGCATTTGAACTTGTGACCGCCACATTTGGCACATGTGGCTAAATATAAATATTCTGTCACTCTTGCCACCCAGCCTGTCCCCCAGCTTGGAACAGCTAAGGCAGACAGGTATTTTGATATTAGCATCGGTCCCCCAGTCTCACCGCTAAGGGGATCACCTGTGACTTCAAAAGCGGCCCGGGTGTCACTGCTACCAGCTTCTACAAAAGCCCCACCTCTCTCAAACAGCCCGGGCGGGACATCCACATTTTATAAGACGGCAAGGCGTGCAAGGAGTGGGGAGGGCAACCAGCTTTCACGGGGGACAGCGCCCGATGCTTCCCGACACGCGATGACCTCGGTGGGTGAGCAGCCGCCGTGGGGATAAGAAGCCGGCTGTGAACAGGGCGAACGCGGCAAGTGCAGGTCCCTGTCCCGCAGGGCGCCCTGCAGCATTACCGGCGCTGAGGGTCATTTGTCACAGCGCGCCTGGAACCTTCGCGTGAGACGATGTGCGAGGCTAAACGTCTCGGGGAGGATTATCCTCCGCACGCCACGCCTGGTCAGTGTTCTCAAGAGGGGCCCGCGTCCTTGGCTCGGGCATCAGCGGGGGAGGGGCGGGGAGCCCAAAGGAATTCCACCCGGTCATCCCGCAAGCGCACCTACGGCCACTGTGCCTCAGTTTCCCACTGGAGCGCCCGCGACTCTCCGAGGAGCGCTCTTCCGCCACCGCCCCTCACGTCCCCCCACGTCCTGGCCGCT